ACAACAGTATTGCTATCAATAGATATTATATAAATAACACATAGCTCAGAGGGTAATAGAGCAGATTGTTACCCCAAGAAAACATAGTCAACTGAGGCGAAGCCAAGGTTGACAATGTCTTTTCGAGGGGAAACAATCTGCTCTATCACCCTCTCAGATATGTGTCCTTTAATTTATTATACTGAATGTTATGTTGTTACTGTCTGTTAAATTTCAAATTCAAAGTAATAAACTATGTCGTCTTGTACATAACAATCATCCATATTTATTAAAGCGCACACTTGAGCAAGCGTCTCTGTGAAGTGTAATAGAGTATTTGCCATGGGATAGAGTAAATTGTCTCCCTCGTATTAACCAATCAAAATCTGGCATTTTGACATGAAGTAAAATAATATATAAATAACACATAGCTGAGAGGGTGATAAAGCAGATTGTTACCCCAAGAAAACATTGTCAACTGAGACCTGTTTTACTTATATTTGATTGTTTATACAGGTGAAAACACGAAATAATATCGATAACAAAAAAAACAAAAAAAAAATATAATAAGACATGGGTTGCTTTTCTTTATTAAAATATAATAGTGATGTCGTTGATAAAACAATTTTTGGAGTCTTGTAAATAGTAAACGTCTTGTTCATTGGTAATCAAAGTACGACATGTTCAGGTTCTCTTAAAGAAGACATTTAAATTTTGTATGTATTTCCAAAGGGTCCTATGTTAAACTAAATCCATCTCTGGCGGCAATCTTCGATGATTGATCGACTTAAAAAAAACAACACTTGGTCAGCACCTCATTAGAAACCTTCATGCCATGTTTGGTTTTATACTATTCAGTGGTTTTCTAGAAGAAAACATTTTTATGTATTTCCCATAGGGTCCTATGTTAAACTTACTCCCCTTGCTGGCAGCCATCTTGGATGATAAATCAGCTACAACGTAACAATACTTCGTCAGCATCTCAAAAGAAACATTCATACCATGTTTGGTTTCAATCCATTAAGCGGTTTTCTAGAAGAAGACATTTGTATGTATTTCCCATAGGGTCCTATGTTAAACTAAGTCCCCGCTGGCGGCCATCTTGGATGATGGATTGACTACAAAGTTACAACATTTGGTCAGCACCTCATAAGGAACATTCATGTCGTGCTTTAATTCATTCCTTTTAGTGGTTCTCTCAAAGACGACATTTGTATGTATTTCCAATAGGGTCCTATGTTAAACTAAGTCCCTCTCTGGCGGCCAACTTGGATGATGGATTTGCTACAAAGTAACAACCCTTAGTCAGCACATCATAAGGAACATTCTTGTCATGTTTGGTTTCATTCAATTTAGTGGTTCTCTAAAAGGAGACATTTGTATGTATTTCCCATGGGGTCCTATGTTAAACTAAGTCCCCGCTGTCGGCCATCTTGGATGATTGATCGCCTACAAAGTTACAAAACTTGGTCAGCACCTCATAAGGAACATTCATGTCATGCTTTAATTCATTCCATTTTGTGGTTCTCTAAAAGAAGACATTTGTATGTATTTCCAATAGGATCCTATGTTAAACTAAGTCCCTCTATGGCGGCCATCTTGGATAATGGATTTGCTACAAAGTAACAACCCTTGGTCAGCACCTCATAAGGAAATTCATGCCATATTTGGTTTCTTTCCATTCAGTGGTTCTCTAAAAAAAGACATTTGTATGTATTTCCCATAGGATCCTATGTTAAACGAAGTCTCCCGCTGGCGGCCATCTTGGATAATGGATCCGCTTGAAAGTAACAACACTTCGTCAGCACTTCACAAGAAACATTCATGCCATGTTTGGTTTCATTCCATTCAGTGGTACTCTAAAAGAAGACATTTCTACGTAATGTCCATATGGTCCTAGTATGCTAAACGAAGTCCCCCGCTGGCGGCCATCTTGGATGATGGATAGGCTACAATGTAACAACACTTGGTCAGCACCTCATAAGGAACATTCATGCCATGTTTGGTTTCATTCCATTCAGTGGTTCTCTAAAAGAAGATATTTGTATGTATAGTCCATAGGGTCCTATGTTAAACGAAGTCCTCCGCTGGCGGCCATCTTGGATGATGGATCGTGTACACAGTAACAACACTTGGTCAACACCTCATAAGGAACATTCATGCCATGTTTGGGTTCAATCTATTAAGCGGTTTTCTAGAAGAAGACATCTGTATGTATTTCCGATAAGGTCCTATGTTAAACTAAGTCCCTCTCTTGCGGCCATCTTGGATGATGGATCGCCTACAAAGTTACAACACTTGGTTAGCACCTCATAAGGAACATTCATGTCATGCTTTATTTCATTCCATTTAGTGGTTCTCTAAAAGAATACGTTTTTTATTTCCAATAGGGTCCTATGTTAAACTAAGTCCCTCTCTGGCGGCCATCTTGGATGATGGATTTGCTACAAAGTAACAACACTTGGTCAGCACCTCATAGGGAACATTCATGCCATGTTTGGTTTCATTCCATTCAGTGGTTCTCCAAAAGAAGACATTTGTATGTATTTCCCATGGGGTCCTATGTTAAACGAAGTCCCCCGCTGGCAGCCATCTTGGATGATGAATCCGCTTCAAAGTAACAACACTTGGTCAGCACCTCATAAGGAGCATTCATACCATGTTTGGTTTCATTCCATTCAGTGGTTCTCTAAAAGAAGACATTTGTATGTATTTCCCATAGGGTCCTATGTTAAACTAAGTCACTCTCTGGCGGCTATCTTGGATAATGGATCTGCTTCAAAGTAACAACACATGGTCAGCACCTCATAAGGAACATTCATGCCATGTTTGGTTTCATTCCATTCAGTGGTTCTCTAAAAGAAGACATTTGTATGTATAGTCCATAGGGTCCTATGTTAAACGAAGTCCCCCGCTGGCGGCCATCTTGGATGATGGATCGGCTAAAAAGTAACAACACTTGGTCAGCACCTCATAAGGAACATTCATGCCATGTTTGGTTACATTCCATTCAGCGATTCTCTAAAAGAAGACATTTGTATGTATTTCCCATAAGATCCTATGTTAAACTAAGTCCCTCTCTGGCAGCCATCTTGGAAGATGGATCCGCTTCAAAGTAGAACGACGGACGACGGACGACGGACGCCAAGTGATGAGAAAAGCTCACTTGGCCCTTCGGGTCAGGTGAGCTAAAAAGTAAGTAAGTACATTATAAAATGGGAAGTTGAACAATCAAAAGAAGCATATACTAGGTGCTTGAGGACAGAACCCTATGTGAACATCCAATGTCCTCTCCCTTTATTATTATAAATCTCCGATTGCTAATATATATCATTTATTTGTACCATATGTTTACCAATATACCATATTTTTTACTCTAAATATACATGTATATTATCAATGTGCCACTCGACTATAGAGTATGCACATCGAATAAGTTATGTTATATTTTATTACATTTTAAAACACCATTCCTTGGAACGAAGTTAGCAACCTTACGCTTCGCTCTATAGTCGAACGGGATTTACATGTATAATAAGAAAGGAAGAAGGACTAGGGGGGGGGGGGGGGGGGAACAAAACTCATGTATACTATAAAAAAACAAAATTTTATATAAATTACAACAATAAACAATAAATAACATGTAGAATCATGTGGAAAACAGTGTAGCCGAGACCATTGATTGGCGCGCTAAAATATCCCATTGACTGGGTCAGATTAGGTGAACGTTCGTCTGTAACGCCCACAACTCACGACGTATTTATTATAGACATTTAAACTGTGGGGTCACCAAAGGGTCTCAACGCCTAAATAAAATAATTCGAAAAACTAATCAGGAATAACCTTTGTGTTTTGATTTATATTGAATACTTAAACGTTCTTTACTTGTGTTTTTGTTATGTTTTGATAATGAATTTATATGATATCGGACGTTCTTTCAGCAAAAAAGGATTTAACTGGCTTTAATAGTTACAATGGATGTGTTGATTATTATCTTTTTTTCGGACGTCAAAGCGATTTAACAATGGCGGTTGTCAAATTATGTCATCTTTTAACTTTTATCTGGTCAAAATTTTATTTTAGAACGAATGCATGATCAACTTTAAAAAGTGTGCAAACACAAAACATTTAGACAAAATATACTTCTTTCCTGTCTTTTTCGTACTTGCAAGTTATTAGACAGTAAAAAGGCTATTTGGATCAAGCCTTGTGAAATTTGCATTTACGTTTTTGAATAGGTAAAATGTAAAGTTTGGTGATCTTTTCTGCTAACTACTATACTTGTGAAAAACCATTGTCAACAGAAACATATTCAGCTTTTTTTTAATCGACCCAATTTACATAGTAATGGACGACTTCGTACATTTTATGATCGCAAATAAAATATGTATATAATATACTGTGCACTGTAGTTCGTATATATACTGAGACCCTTTGGCAACCCCACAGTTTGAATGTTTATAATAAATAAGTCGTGAGTTGTGGGCGTTACAGACGAACGTTCACCTAATCTGACCCAGTCAATGGGATATTTTAGCGCGCCAATCAATGGTCTCGGCTGCACTGTTTTGCACATGATTCTATATAAAACAAAACAAAAATAAATCAGAATGTCTGATTTTTATATTCTATTATTCAAATATAAGACCCAAATTAAGCCTTTATATAGCCTATAAATTATTGCAATACATACATGTGTTGTTACACATTTAACGTGACGTTTTATGGAATACTATTTTTAACTTGTTATGTCTCAGTTAAATATTTATGGTATTGCGCTTTTAACCTTACTATTGAATTTCCCAACAGTTAGAAAAATGGACAATACATCGTTTTAAGATTCACACGACGATTTTATTACACCACAGAGTTTATTTACAGTAGTTTATTTGACGTGTATAACTTCATTCTACGTGTAAGTATCACATGTTTTAATCGTTACCTGGTTATTATTTCTATTTATATATTTAAAAAATTTCCCTGTAAGACTGTCAGATTTTTCTGAAGCTATAAATAGCATTGATTAGTCAGCTATATTTTCAACTGTGAAAAACGACTTTCTTTTAAAAGATTGATGTGTACAAGACGAAGGTAAGGTAGGTATTTATTGAATTATATTTTCACACATAAGTAAATTGCCAGAAACAAACAAATCAGGGCGCACCTCCTCTCAGTAAAATATGAATGGAACATATTATAACTATTTAACATGTTTAATAAATGTGACGTACCTAAAATCGTGGGTCAGCGACTAAAATTGTTTACATGTCTGATCGTTGTTAACGTAATTATATACGACACATATAATATATAAATTCCTACCCATACATGTATTTCATAGCTATCAAACATACCACATGGGATCATTCATATTATTAGGTGAAAAGAAAAGTACACAGTATTTAAAGACATCTTAACACAGAATGAATATTTATGACCCATTGCCATATAAGTTTCTACCCATTGATATATTTGACATTCCGAAAAAGTTACCCATACCAGCGGCACGTTTATATAGCAAGAGACACACACACTTGTGGAATACAAAAGGGGTTGAAATTATAAAAAAAACAAGAAAAAAAACCAAAAAAACAAGGGGGAATGGGAAGAGGGTTGTCACATAAAAAAACAAATGATGAATAACTTTCGAAAGGGTGGAATGTAAGTTATTTAAGATTTGTTTATCTTTTTTTTCACTCTGTAAATACAATTTGGATTTATAAATAAAATGCCTGGTTGTTCGTTTTATACGATATTTAAGTGTATTGTATTTAAGTTTAGGGTCTTCAATTATAAATTGATAAAAAAGCATTGAATTACATTAATAAACGAAATATGTTATATATGTATATCTTTTTTTATCTGATGATTATCACAATTTTTTTTTTCTATTTGTCTAATTACTCGCCAGATCATTTTTGAACATCTTATGACATAATGTTTAATTCAGGGGAGTGTATTTTGTTATTTAGACGATAAGTTAAAAGAACGTCCGGATTACGGTACTTAAACATAAGTATAAATTCAAATACAAAATGTGTATATCAAACATGTGACTTCAGTGTATGTGTTTAGTACAGTATGAATGTATCTTTTGTTTGGCCTGTATTTCAGAGGCTCAATAATTTCATATTTTCTTATGGTCCCTTTTCCCGGAAACCATACCATATGATGACGTAGACTTTATACAATAAAGGCTTTTTTGATTGAGTTAAGCCTTCTAATTGATATTTTATAGTGTGTTTTTCTATGTTGTGATGTTATACTATTGTTTCAGAAAAGGGAGAAGGTTTGATACCATTAAAACGTTTAATCCCGCTGCAAATGTTTGCACCTGTCCTAAGTCAGGAATCTGATTACAGTAGTTGTCGTCTGTTTATGTAGTTCATACGTGTTTCTCGTTTCTCGTTTTTATATAGATTAGACCGTTGGTTTTCCGTTTGAATGGTTTTACACTAGTAATTTTTTGGGGCCCTTTATAGCTTGCTGTTCAGTGTGAGCCAATGCTCCGTGTTGAAGGCCGTACCTTGACGTATAATGGTTTACTTTTATAAATTGTAACTTGGATGGAGAGTTGTCTCATTGGCACTCATACCACATCTTCCTATATCTATTTGTAAGCAACACATTATCATGGGTCTAAATTCAATGCTCTTCTGACATAATGTTTTTTTTTAATATTATGTTTAATAGCACGGTCAGTGATCATTTATCGCCTGCATTGCACTTACAAAGGTCGTCGTGTTACCATGTTAATTTTATAATGACATTTATAATGATATTAACTTGCTTAAATATGTTGTTTATATTTTAGGATTATATAGATAGAAAATATTACTACTCTACACCAGTACACTTATCCTAACACAAAAATAACAATGAGGTTTCATCAGTAGGTCGTTACTTTAATTTTGCTCTTTGCCGTCTTCGGGGATGTTGGTAATTTCATTAATTCGGTATGGAATGGACAAGAAATGATTTCACCAAATTCTGCTCTAATATTTTCTGGAGCAAAAGCTGTCTGGGGACATGTGGCAAAGGCAGTGGTCCGAGGCGTGGCAAAGAGCATGGCGAAGAAAGGGAAGAAGAATGGAAGAAGTGAACACACCAAAAACCAAAGACCAAGTACAAAAGGAAAGCACGAAAAAGGACAGAGTAGAAAGCAAAATGACCAAAACCGAGCAAATGGGAAGAAACAAAAAGGAGGAAAAGATGGAAGTAAAAAAAGGGGGAAAAATAAGTTTAAATCGAACGTATCTTTGATGAAGAAATTGTTTAAAAGTTATTATATACCACACAATAAAATAACACATATAGAATAGGTTATCAAGAAAACAATGTGTCATAAGAGTGTACTGTGGCAATGTGAAAGGTTAGAACTTAATATTACAAAGCAACATTAGCTCTAAACGAAGATCCTTCAAGTGTCTAAAATAAAGGAAGATTTAACTAGTTTGTTTTATTTATTACTGTGTTTTTTTTTAATCTGAGGTCGCCGTATCTAGCATATAAAATGTAATTAAGAGTGTACGATGATCTCGCCTTCCCAAAATAAAATTAATGTCAAGACTTAAGGTAAATGTATTGTGAAACTTTTGTCTTTTATTTTGACAATCTGGCATATTGCCCTTCGAATTTTACCATATTTTTTGTTCATTTTTATACGCTCGTTTACGGGACGTAATATGGTATACCGTTGTCCGTCCGTCCGTCCGTCCGTCGTCAACATGTCGCACGATAACTCAAAAACCAATTTGCATTTAACTTTGGTGAATTGTTTATATCTTTTGACCTGAGCCACCCTTTCGATTTTTTATGAATTTTAGATTTTACGTTTCCGAGTTATGGGGTTTTATTCATTAAAAAAGGGGGGATTTTCAAGTTTTCGGACAATAACACAAAAACACTTTCACCAATTTGTAAGAAACTTTGGTTAAATGTTTATATCTATTGATGTGAGCTCTCTTTTTATTTTTATGGAGTTTAGATTTTTCGTTTCCGAACTATGGGGTTTTATTCATTAAAAAGGGAGGATTTTCCAGTTTTCTGACAATAACTCAAAAATGCTTTGAGCAGTTTTCGTGAAACTTTAGTGAATTATTCATATCTATTGACATAAGCTCCCTTTCGTTTTTTTTTTTATAAATTTTAGATTTTACGTTTCCGAGTTATGAATTTTTTTTTATAAAAAAAGGTTGATTTTCCAGTTTTCGGACAATAACTCAAAAGTGCTTTGAGCAGTTTTCATGAAACTTTGGTGACTGGTTTATATCTATTAAAATAACCTCCCTTTAGTCTTTTTTAATACATTCCTGATATGACATTGAAAAGTTATTGAACTTAAATTATTCTTTCCAAAAGCGGCGGGCGTATCATGCGCTCATGTCGCAGCTGTTTATTGTCTACTACTTTCTTTAAACTATAATTTAGAGAAAGATGATTTAAATAAAAATAAAATAATAAGCAAGATAAGAACTACAAATATGTCAACATGACCGAAATCGTCAATGGATCCTTATTGAAGTTGTACTTAAATGACAATGTTTACCAATTTTTTATTTTGCTCATTATCTATATATGACAAAGCAAAACTCTATATAGCAAACCATACCAACTATGCCAAAATTCAGATGTATCTTCTTCTTATATGAGTTGAGGCCCTTGGATGCATTTTTAAACAACCGCAACAAATTTTGCGGTCGTATATTGGTATCACGTCGTCGTCGTCGTCGTCGTTGTCGTCAGCGTCGTCCGAATACAGTTGGTTCCCGGACAATTACTTTAGTATAATTAAATAGAGATCTCTGAAATTTAAACACAAGGTTTATAACCACAAAAGAAAGGTTGGGATTGATTTTGGGGGTTATGGTCCTAACAGTTTAATAATTAGGGGCCAAAAAGGGGCTCAAATAGGCATTTTTCTAGTTTCTAGACAATAACTTGTGGAACGGTGTATGGATCTCTCTGAAATTATACCACAAGTTTCCCTACCACAAAGGGATGGTTAGGATTTGCTTTGGGGGGTAATGGCTCAAACCGTTTAGGAATTAGGGACAAAAAAAGGGGGAAAAACAAGGGTTTCCTGGTTAATGGACAATTACTTAAGACAATTTAAAAGCAGTGTAAGGAAGGTAATCCAAATACAACGTTTTGATTACCTCCCTTACACTGCTTTTAAATTATGTATAACGAAATGTTGTATTGTCTTGAGATGATTAGCTGTCAATTTATTTTTAGAAGTTACTATTAAGGAATATTAATTTTAGCCATTATTATGTATGTCATTTTCTATTTTAAGACTTTTATGATGTATTCGAATTGAGATTATAACCAGATCTTGAGGAAAATAATTTTTTTTGGGGGAAAAAAAGGGGGGGGGGGGGTGAAAAAAGAATTTGGGGGGTGGGGGGTGAAAAGAAATTGTTCGGGGTCAATTTTTTCTCATTTCAGATTTCAGAAATTAAAAAGTAAAATTCTTCAAATATTATTTTTTGGGAAAAAAAAGTGGTGGTGGTGGTGGTGGTGGGGGGGGGGGGGGGGGGGGGTCAATACGCAACAGCATAGTGTATTGCACAAAAGCAAAAAAAAAGGGAGGGTAAGTTTTTTTGTTTTTTTTTTTTGTGGGGGAGGGGGGGGGGGGGATAAATTCAAATCATATAACCAATTCTAAGTTCTTTGACTACAGTTACTCTGTGTCAGAAACTTATTATGTGTCAAATATCTAATTACAATCCAAATTCAGACCTGTATCAAGCGGGAATATTGTGTCCATTTTTGCCCCAACTGTTCAGGATTGGACCTCTGCGGTCGTATCAAGCTGCGCTCGGCGAAGCAATTTATTTACCCCTTTTTTAGCTCACCTGGCTCAATGGGCCAAGTGAGCTTTTCTCATCACTTGGCGTCCGTCGTCCGTCGTCAATTAACTTTTTCAAAAAAATTCTCCTCTAAAACTACTGGACCAAATTTAACCAAACTTGGCCACAATCATAATTAGGGTATCTAGTTTTAAAAAATTTGCCCGATGACCTCGCCTGCCAACCAACATGGCCGCCACGGCTAAGAGTAGAACATAGGGCTTAAATGCATTTTTTGTCTATTATTTTGAAAACCGTTATGAATAGAGAAAATCTGACAGGGGTAACAATGTTCACAATGTTGAACTCTACCTATTGTCTATATACGTCGAAATTGTCAGACGACTTCTTATAGGAGTTATTGCCCTTAAATGACGAATTATACAATGTTTATTTCATGTTCGGCTATTATCTTGAAAACTATAATAGATACAGAGAAACGTTAAACTGCAAATGTGATCAGCAAGACAAAATCTACAAATAAGTCCAAAAGGTCGAAATCGTCAGCCGACTCCTTATTAGAGTTGTTGCCCTTTGATGATGATTTTTACCAATTTTTTGCGTTTTTGCCTTTTTTCTTAAAAATTATAACAGGTAGATAGAAACTTAAATAAGCACAAAAATGATAAGCAAGACAAGATCTACAATTAAGACAATAGACAGGAAATCGTCCAAGGTCTCCAAGGAAAAATTACCCTTAAATGACGATTTTTATCATTTTTCCGGGGTTTTGCCTTGCATGATAAAAATTATAACAGATAAATAGACACTTTAAATCATAAAAATGATCAGCATGGCAAGATCTACTAACAAGTCAAATTTTGCCGATATTGGTAGTAGACTGTCACTCTTTATAGAAGTGATTGCCCTTAAATGAGTATTTTTTGTACATTGTAACCCTCTTTTGTGTTTTGAGAAAATCTAAAGAAGATAGAGAGAAACTAAACTGACTAAATGATCAGTTACAGTTTTTGTGGACAAACCCAAGTAAAAATGACCACCACATGGGAACATAAATAAAACCATACAAATAGTACATGCATGCATGTTCTCAGATACCATCTACCATATCAAAATTCCATCATGCAGAAATGCACCTAATGTGTTCCTCTCCTAGCTATCCAAAATCAAAGATATTGAACATATTTTATCATAACCATTTGGTAATCAATGCAATTAGTGTCTCCTCCGTGACAGTCTTGAAGATTAAAAATTAATAATAAATAAACAACACTGCTAATATTTAGTGTTTGGTTCAGGTTCAACTTGGCTGTCATTGTGGAACACAGTTTAATATAGAACCCTATGGAAAAAAAAACCCGAGAACTCTTTTTGTCAGAAAACACTGTCAAACATCCTTACATACTATCCACACTGATCTGTGTCCACACTTGTAGTAGAAACAAAATAAATTGTAAACAGAAAATGACCAGCAAGACAATATATATATACAAAAAAATCAACATAGCCGGAATTGATTTTTAAGTTTTGGTAAAAACTATAGAAAATAGGCATACACTGTTATTGTTGATGGTGCACATAGATCCAGGTGATCGATACAGGCTCTTAAAATGCTCTATTTTTGGAAAGTAGTCACTTAATTTTTGAACATTTACATTTGAAATTTGAAATATTTTTCTGAATTTTTCTCCATCCGAACTGTACATAATTACCTAATATGCAAATGTTTATGTATATGCAATGGCCATATTGCAAATTTCTTGACGCAATAGTGCGTCTATACTAGCACTATTTGAGCATTAAAAGATTAGTAAGATACGGTGGTGTGAAAAGAAAATGGTATACACGTTGAAAGAATTGTACACGAACAGAATTTATAGATACCTGTACAATTTTAATAGAACCCAAATGAATATAATCGTTCCTGTTGTATGTGATGCACATTTTGAAAAGAGTCTGAATATTGGTACATATAAAGAGTAGAGAGATAGAGATATGATAGAGAAGTTCCCTGCCACGACTACCTACTGTAATCTTTATTCATATATAATTTTGTAGCTTTTGGCTTAACAGCCGCTAACGGACTGTTAGTCGTCTCGAGTGTTCTGTTCGAAATAGTCAGTTTTCGGCCCTAAACAACATTTTACAATAAGTTTTCCTTAATCCTCAGTTTTCCGGTTAGATAAATACATGTAGGATAATAGCATTACAACCGTTGGTTACAACAGTATATTTATCTGACATAAAATTAAAAGACATAGAACTCTCGTTGTATAGTTGGAAAGGCAGATATATCATTGCGCCTTGGTCTGGAATACATTCACATCTTTATGATCATCATGAATGTACTTGTGATCGACGAAAGAATGTACATTTATTGTGCAGCAACTATTTCGAACAACATTTAGTTCTAAGTACAAAATAATGCTTTTTAGAATTAAAATAATGCAATCTTACCTTCAATAGACGTCTTTTATGGATGTTCGGGAGATATAAATCGTAGTTATGTTCGTTTTGGATGTGGTTTGAAATTAATTCATGACATAGAATACAGATAGTGGCACACTGTATGCGCGTTAATATACCATTCAAACATACAAATTTTCCATACACCTCTTTTCTCTTTACTTAAATGTTCTTCAAATTATAAATACTGTTTATGTAAAACTGTTTGCCCTAAGGCTTACAAAGTCACATAACAATACTACAAGTAAGCCATCGACACTGTCAACTGTCAACTCCAATCCTCCCCGCGAGTTGACTAGGATACAGATGTATAATTATCTCTTGACTTGTAAATCATGGTAGACACAGTATAGACGTTTAGCTTACTATCTTACAAGGGGTTTGCTCGTTGTCAAAGGCCGTATCGTATCATATATAATCATAATGGTTTCCAGTTACTTGTATTTTAATCATCTGGTTTTAAGATTTTGGTTTCTCACAGTTGATTCGTTTTTAATTCAATAATATAGGTTGGAAAACTTTATTGTCAGTCAGAAAACTTTAATAGACAGCTTACATTATTATCATGAAACAACAACCAACAAGCAAATTTTATTCGTATTAGACCGTAATACTGATAGAAATTAAGAAGTATATATATATATTAAATGATTGTTATTAGTTGTTGATTATGCCCGTTTGAACCAGCGTAAGCAGCCATTATGAATGGATGGTCCGACATAAATGATATATTATTTGAACCAAAGATTTCAAAAGCTTAGTTTTAAGACTTGAACCAGACTATTTATGTTTCACGTTAGATAATTAAAGTATAATTTCATCACTCTTTTTTTAATTTTCTACATACTGTATATATCTTTTCAATAAAATGTGTACAATTTCCATATTGTGTTTGTTGATTAACGGAGAATGCGCTTCCGATTGAACTCTTTCATCTTTTTATTCTAATAAAAACATTGATTAGAGGTATAGGGGGAAAGTCGAGATATTACTGAACATGTTTAACGCCGCCAACATTTTTGCGCCTGTCCCATGTCAGGAGCATGTAGCCTTTGTTAGTCTTGTATGATTTTTTATTTTAGTTCATTTATTTGTTTTGGAGTTTAGTATGACGACCATTTTCACTGGACTAGTACACATTTTTGTTTAAGGGCCAGCTGAAGTTCGCCTCCGGGTGCGGGATTTTCCCGCTTTGTTGAAAACCCATTGTAGGTCTTCGGCTGTTTTACTTCTTTTTGGTCAGGTTGTTGTCTCTTTGACACATTCCCTATTTCCATTCTCAATTTTATATCTATAGGTTGTCAAGATATGATGTGTATCCATAGTGATTACTGCGACACAAGGGTCTACAGGTGACTAATCGCTCAAAGGTATCAATGGTCATGTATATGGAATGAATAAAAAAAAAATAAATACTGTAATAATTTTTCTTTTAATAAAAACTATAAAACTATGAAATCAACAATACTTACAGGTATTGTAATGAAATCTGCGCCATGAGCGCATGATACGCCCGTCAATTTTTCAAAGAATAAAGTTCCATAACTACTAAATGCCTTTTCAGAAATTTATAAAAAAAAAACTTATTTTAGTTATTTTAATAGATATAAACTAGTCAGTAAATTAAAGCTTAATGTGAACTTCTCAATGCACTTTTGAGTTATTGTCCGAAAACTGGAAATCGTCTTTTTTAATGAATAAAACCCTATAACTCGGAAACGTAAAATCTAAAATTGATAAAAAATCAATAGGGAGCTCACGCCAATAGATATAAACAATTTACAAAAGTTTCATGAACACCGCTCAAAGCATTTTTTAGTTTTTGTCCGAAAACGGGGAAAACAAACTTTTTTTAATGAATAACTCGGCAACGTATAATTTAAAATTTATCAAAATCAAAACGGAACTCACGTCATCTGATATGAACATTTCACCAAAAAATGATTAAAACTGCTCAAAGCACTTTTTTGAGTTATTGTCCGAAAACTGGAAAATACCCCTTTTTAATGAATAATGAATAAAAACCCATAACTCAAAAACGTAAAATATAAAATTTATAAAAATCGAAAGGGAGCTCAAGTCAATAGATATTAACAATTCACCAAAGTTTTATTCAAATTGGTTAAAGCGTTTTTGAGTTATTGTCCGAAATGTTGACGATGGACGGACGGACAACGATATACCATAATACGTCCCATAAACGGGCGTATAATAGATGAAACGTAAGTAAAAACATATAATTAAAATATATAATAAATTATTTATTTATTAAATATTTGTGCATTTCTATTCTGAATTGATAAGCTGAACTGATAAACACACAATAAGGAAGACATTTTTTTTCTAAAATGATCATACATGTAAAAAATATTTGAACCATTAAGCTATTTTTGCATTTTAAAAATATTTGAAGTATAATCTTACTAGTTTCTTCAAAGTGTTTATTTAATATCTTAGTTACAATTAGGATATGATGTCATTGGCCAAACATTTGAAAAAAGGGCAAACATTGAAATTAAGTTCAAATGGTCATTAAGTTAACATGACCTTATATTTGGTTATTATTTTTAGGACTTCAAGACCGAGGACACCATACCAGGACTAACAAATAATAATGAATAACTGTGAATCTCTGAAGGTATATGATCTTTGACCTCGACGCAATCCACTGATCAAAACAGACTTTGTCAATTTCATATTCATCGTGGTAATACTTTACCAATTGAAATTAAACTTTATACATTTCACTGCTGGTAGTTAATCAAAAACAATAACAAAATCAAAGTTAATTAGTTTTTTCTTTTCAACAAATCATTAGAGTTATATGCATTTAAAAAATATATACAAAAACACAATAAAAATAAGACAACTGCATTAAACATGTTAAAGTTTGTATTGTATAATATTATATATGTTGAATATTAGAGTCATACCATGTATGATATGCACATACCTTTTAGGTTATAAATCTAACTATTGTATATGAGCATCATATTTCATACATAACGTAACCAAAAGGTCGTATGCAATATTCTAATGCACCATAGTTTGTAACTTTCATTTTGATTGAATAACGTCTCAAAATTTCATGGCATCAATTCACACAATTGATGCTTTGAAAACGTACATGCAAGCACAGACGACGTATGACAGATTATAAATGTATGATTTGACGTTGTTTTCTGTCAGTTTAATTAGAATGAGATAACAATATTGCATTTTAAGCTCCGATAGCATCAATTGGTGATTTGATGGTCGCACATACACCTTTACTGGCTCCACTAAGCGTCGCTAGTAAACTTAATTAGTGACCATCAAATCACCAATTGAAGCCATCGGAGCTCAAAATACAATACAGTTATCTCCCTTTTAAATTGCATTAATGCAAATAAAGCTTAATATCAGTGACGTCATAAATGACATATTATGTTGTTAACCGTTTTTTTAGCTTTGCTATACGATAGACATGATAAAAGATTTATTTCATGAATATTGGTGAATATTATCTCTTGTAGAATATACTTTGCATCGCAAGCTCGAAAAAAAATAGAAATAAACATGTTGATATATGTATTAAAAAGTGTATTTGTTTGATAAATAATGTTATAATTCTAAGCTTTCTTATACAACCGTTATATATACTTTGTGATACTGTTTTTCCAGTACATCGTAATGTATTAATGCAAAATAAAAAAAAATGAGTTTCATTATTAAAAAAATACAATAAATAATGCAAACATACTACTATAATATGTGGTTTTTGTAATACACTACATGTGATACCTTCTCATTATTGTTTTTGTTTTCTTTCTTAATATAATATATGAGTGCATTTAAAATTCAAAACGTTTGTTCAGCACTTTCCCCATATTTTACTTGACCATTTTTGATACGAACGAAATAATGTCACTTGCTATTCTGAGACATTGGTCAGCATCTTGTTGACTGTAAATTGTTGATGGAATATCATCACCGCTGATCTGATCAGGATATCTCATTCGGGTGTGATAACCAACTATATCACCCATATCGCTTGCAAGATCACGTAGTTCCTGTGGCAAACCGTTGGCAATTGCAGACAGTGCGTGACTATGCGATACATTGTTAGCGTCCATATAGTACCACATTGCCTTCAACGCCTTTTCTGCTGACTGTAATATATATAAAACAATACTAATGATATAATTAGAATCATTTGTGAAATGGAACTGGTTTTAAAAAGGAAAAGTAGAAAGCAAATAACAGTACAAAAAACGCTCAATATAAACAATACAGTTGTCAAAGAAACCGTTGTCATTTATGACAAATATACATTTGCAACGGTTGATAAATTCTTTTTTTGGCGGAATAGGAGTAACGTTAACATTTAAAATATTTCTTTCAGTACCTTCTATATAACCAGAAAACCTAAATGAAAATAAACAATAGAAAGTACAAGCTCCTTTCATATCATGGGTTTTTCATATACTTGCCTTTAAAATCTGACTTAACTGTATGGGTTTTGCTCATTGGTGAATATAGAAATAAGGAGATGAGGTTTGATTGCCTATGAGACAACTATTTATTTTACTTCAAATGACGAAGAAACAAGCAATTATAGGTCACCGTACGGACCTCAACAATTAGAAAAACCCATTCCGTATAGTCAGTTATAATACTCCCGATATAAATGATGTGAAATAATTCAAACAAGAAAATTTAATAATTCATAAGGCTCTACAGCTTTATTGCAGTGTCGTAAATACAAAACTGCATATTGAATGTCACGATATCCACTGTGACGCGGCAATTGCATTTCCCTTAATTTTGTATTATGTATTTTCTTTTGTATGAAGTGTACCACTATTAGCAGTGTGCAAATTGTTTTAAGACGACTTTACTTTCGTATCCAAATTAATCACAGGCAACATTATATCAATTTTAATTCTGTTTAAAAATACTTTCTATAGTTGTTAATTTCTGTGTCATTTGGTCTCTTGTGGAGAGTTGTCTCATTGGCAATCATACCACATCTTCTTTTTTATATTATATACATTATAACTAATTTTACCTGATGACAATGGTAGCAAATCCAGTTAAATGATTGCATAGGTCTAGCGTGTGGAATAAACGCCTTAGCTGCATCTCTGTCACAAGTAGCCTGTCTTAACCATTTGCGAGCATTTCTTGGTATTGACACTTTCTCCCTATTTTCTCCATGAGCAAAAGTATTGTGTGATCGAGTATTGTCTTGATAATATTTAGGGGACTGTGCAAAATAAGGTGATTTTGGTAAATCTTCACCCCGATATCTAGATTGCTCGTTGAATTCGTCGTCAATCAATTTACCATCCTTTAGATCACGTATGAGATTTTCAATAAACTGAAAAACTTTAGTAGCATAATCTTCATTTCCAAAGTTTTGATCTGGATGCCATGTAACCCGCAATCTTTTTATTAACAGTCTGCGTTTTGTTTCATCGGTTATTTTTAAATATGTCATAAATTGTTTCTTCACTTCTTTTATTGTATCATCGACTGATTGCATGTTGGCAGAACTAGCGGCGTCATTGTCTGTTGGTACAATATCTTTAGATTTCAAATGTCTCCTTCTATGAAATTTGAAAATTTTATACGCTGGCACCTCTACTGCTTCTGTTTCACCAACGTCTAATAAATATATCTCCTCAAATTGTGCAAAATCACAACTTTTTGAATGATTTTGAGAATTATGAATGGATCGTAGAACTTTTGCATACATGTAATTTGCATCTTCAAACTGTCCGGGCTCATTTTCCTCTTCTTCATAAAGGAGCATTGCCACATAATCGTTCACTTCAAAGTCAGAGAATGAATTGTCAAGTAGGTAATGTAATGAAGGTGGAACAAATGTGCCAGGATCTGGATATATTTCAGAAGAGACATTGGCATAATTTAAGTGTACAATATTTTCACTGTCAAGCTTGTCACTTAATAAGGCTGGATTAGAAATGCTATGAAGAAGGAGATGAATAAAGACCTGGTTTACACGCAATCCTCTTCTTGTTATCTTTTCAAGAAGTTTTACAAAAGAAAACTGTATATCACTCAACCATTCCTGTAAATCGCTTACATTGTCAACACAGTACATTATTAGAGACTTGGTGTCACCAATCATTACTGACTTTACAAAAGCTTTCTTCCTTTCAGTACTTTCTTCAACTTGTCGCCCATCAAAAAAAAGTGCAGTTTCTAAATCTGATACTTGTTGAAATTTCAAACTTGCAATTTGGTTTACAATCCTACATTGCTCCTCTTCATCTATATTGCAAGCCCTAAAGTCCATTCCTAAATGTGAGTTAATTTTTAGTTTTTCATCGAGTACTAAACGCAGTAGTCCTTCTATAAATTCATCTGTTTTTACAAACTGTGACAACATTTGTATTTTATCTCCGGATTGGCATTCAATGGCAATCAAAAGTTTTTCATTCAGTATTTCAGACAAAAACTTTGGTTTTAGCTCCTCTGGCAACATTTTCAATGTGTTTGCTGAAAATTGAAACTGCAAGTCAAGTTTTTCAAATCCAGCAAAAAACCTTTCATCGTGAAATTGTTTTGATCTATTTTCAATTTTTTTATTGTCCGCTACTATTAACGATTTTGACGAATGCAAAATGAACTGGCGATTCGGTAAAAACAGTTCAGTGCAGTTTAAACAGACGGGATATTCAGATGAAATTTTTGAAAACAGGTTTCGAACAGCAGGGACAAGAATATTTTTTTTCTCATTTGGTCCAAGAATACTAGGTTGGCTGTTTCCATCTAGACTGTCACGATGAAGGCACAGTAAAACGTCGGCGAAATGAAATGATGATGTTGTCTCTAGAGCACCAAGTTTTCGGAAAAGATTTGCGCAATACATGTAATCTGTTGGAATGCGCATAAGGTATGGCTGGATAATTTCATAATCTTGTAGAAGTAAAACAACTTGTTCGCACGAAAGACAAACTTTTTCATCGTTAAAGAAAACTATAGGCGTTGTTTTCAATTCTAATAAACACGTGTTTGTGATGTCACTTTTTTGCAAACATATATAGTGCTTGACAAAAAGATCTTTAAGAAATAGTGCTCTATCTTCTGTTACAAATTCTGAGTCATTAGAACATTTGTCTTGAATAGATACTGCAACGTTTTTTAAGTTTTGTACAACGACTCCAATGTTTGGCAAGACGTCTACTCCTAAAAGGGTTAAAGCTTCTTTCGTCTTCTCAGATTTACAAGAAACATAGTCGGGTAACACATATGCTGACGTCCAAACAAGTGGCAAAATATCGTCTTCATACAATGTACAGTCCTCAAAAGATACCAGTACTCGGTTTTGATACTGTTTGTGGATCCGTGACAATTGATCAGTGAGGTCCAACTGAAAGGGTTCGATAAATCTTACATGCTTAACATCACGGAGAGGAGTGCACTTTAATTCGTCAAGAAGTTTTTCGCGATTAAACAGATGATTAACTAGCAACTTCGATTTTTCACTCGTTTCTCCTGACAATAAATTCAGTCCTTTTTCTGCAATTTCTTTTGCAAACTGCACGACCATTTCCGGGGTAGCTGTTAATTTCATTCCAATGAGTTCCATGAACTGTTCCCACTCTTTACCATTATATGGATATGGGGGAAATTTGTCTTCTGTGCACATGACACTGAATAAGTCATTATGGGGATTGCAAAAATCTACAGCACGACGTGACACATTGTTTTTTAACAAGAAAGGACATTTTGATAATTCTTCTATTAAATGTGTTTGTATAGATCTAAATTCGCCATCTATTCCTTTAAACAGAAGATTATCCCTTATGTACTCTAGATGTTTCGGTTGTGCCGACTGTGGCATGCTTTGAAAGTTTGGAATGATGAATTTTGAATACAGTTCATATTGGTTGCAAGAAATAAATCCAAGTTTCATATGGAGATGTTGTATCCTTTTGATTTCCTTCAGTAGCACTATACCTGATGCGTTTGCCCATTCGTTTATTCCAACATCGGGAATGTTGGTTGGTAAAACATGTAAAAGAAGGACCGAAGTGCGAATATTTTCTATCACTGTGTTGTACCCACCTAATGTAATAAAAAGTGGGATACTCCTTACACTTTTCTTGATTTCGCTAGAGGTGTACATTCTCTCCAAGGTATCATAATTATCATTAAAATACTCTAAATATGCTGAACAATCGTCTTCAGATATGTTCGTCTTGTAACGTCTAAGGTGGTACACGAAACATTCAAAAACATCTTTTGAATTACTATAAGATACTAATAATTCCTCTGCAACATTGTTTGCAGCCTCACAGAATTCTGGTTCTTTTGGGTTTGCATAATATTTCCAAAATATTTCAGTGTCTAGTTCAGGCATTTCTATCTTTTGTAAAGCTTCATACAGAGGAATGTTTGTTTTAAAGGATTCCATGTTTAATGTTTTTTTAGACATACCAATACTTTGAAGTTTCTGGTGTTGACCTATTCGTACTGGAAGTAAGGACCAGTCTGACAAACAATGTGAAATGTTATAATCTTCGTCCTCTTTTTCAGAATTTTCCATCTTAGAGACGTCTGCAAAAAAGCTCCATACATTTCTAAGCCAGTCTCGATTTGGAATATTTTCTTGATCTGGATTCCAATTCAATGATGTAGATGATTCTCTGTAAATGCTTGGGTTAAGAACATTTTTAATCAGTATCTTGAAGTCCTGTAAAGTAAACTTTTTCAGACAAGGTGATTTGATAACTTCCATTAGATGACATATTTTTTTGTTGACAAACTTTTCTTCTAACCCACACATTATGTTACAGTGTCTACTGACAAACATAGGTGTCGCCTCAGAATATTCCATCAGTATGTCATCATTTGAAATGCATAACGGCAGTCCTGATAAATGTTTATCAAAAGTGTCACTTTTCTTGCAAAAGCTAAGCAGCCTGTCCACATTCCAAATTGTTTCAAATGTTGTACGACGTATACTCTTTCCTAAACCTACTAACTTGCATGCATCAGAATTCACATCTGAATGAGACAGAAGAAAAGCTATTATAATATCCGGCGTGACACTTTCCACGTTGATTTTACATGCCTTCATTTCTTTATAAAGACCACTTGATAAATCAATAACATGAAGGTTAAGTAATTTCATGATGCTTACTACTGAATTTGGATCCATAGATTGATTGTTATCTAAACAAAATACTGCTGGAAAGTTGGAATCATTTTTCTTCAGACAAATCCAGTCAACTTTACCCTTAAATGAAGCCATGTACATATTTGGTTCTTTAAAGACTTCTGAAATCGTTGGAAACAACGGATTATTTTCTAAAACTTGGTGGTATATTTCAATGCAGAGAAATTTCCAATTAGAGTCGACAGCTGTTTCTAGGGATGGAAAATATTTAAAGTATGTCTCCAGCTGATTTCGAATATGGTACTGACCACTGACATTTTTTGTACATTCTTTACAGATATCACGTCGCTTCTCAATTGCTGCAATATACGATGGAGCTATCACTGATGACATAAGAGTTCGGTTCCAAATTGACTTAAGACTTTCTTTGTTGTCTTCCCATAAATTTCTCCGTGACTCATGATTCAAGGCAAAATGTCCGTTGACATGCATTGGAAGACCAGTATAAATAGGCAAAGGTAAAACACAAAAGGCGCTGAATTGTAATGGTGCTATTTTTGAAAGGGGTAGTGCTACACCCCCTTGAGGCAACAGACCTAATTCACCAACCGAGTAAGCGTGTGATACTTCTATATCAATTGTCCTGTCATTAAATCCAATTCTATCCACAACAAACCAAGTTTCATCTTCATCTCCAGTTTCACGTGTTATGTCAAAAACACTGATGTTCATTATGGTTTGTATTTGAACTATAGGTTCCGTTGTAATTTCTTGTTTCTCTTTTATCATTTCGCCTACCTTTAGCCGTTTCAAGTGAAATGCTTGCTTTTGTCTGATGTCTTCCATAGACATTTTAACTGTTACAGAATAATCAGATATCATTTGTCCATTCTCAATTCGTGAAAATACGACCTTGCGAATATGATTCAAGAAGAACATAGAACGAGTAGATTCATTCTTAAACTTTCCAAGCAATGTTGTCAGATGTTTTATATCAATAGGTTTGTCCCATATCTCTGACGCTTCTGTTCTCAGAGGAAATCTAAATATTGTACCCTCATCTCCCATTAGATCTTCTTCGTGATATGGCACAAATACATCGGGGACTGTTCTCTGAAGACCATCTAAGTTGAAGTATCTACTTCCAGGATTTTGCTTGTCTGCAGTAGTAGCATATTTGCATAAAGGATCAAGAATACAAAGAGTTCTGTTACCTTTATCTATCTTTTCTCCCTTGGTTATAAAACTTGGCGCATCTGTCAGGTGATACACGGCATTAAAACCAACTCCATACTTTCCTGTTTGGGTTGGATTTTCATTTTTACCACCAATGCCTAGGAGTTGGATGCTTTCCAAATCATATTCACTGAAAGACTTGTTATTATAAACAAGAAGTGATGGCCCTTGAAGTTCTTTGAAGTTTCCATCAAACACTTTTGCAGATGAATAGTAATTGTAGTCAGTGACAAAGTGAATCTCTGTTGCTCCTGCATCATCAGCGTTCTGTAACAACTCTTTAAAAATTCCTTCATCAGCAGGATATCCCTCCAACAATTTGTGTATTCGTGTAGTTAAGTCTTCTTTTTGACCAAATTTCATTACATTATGGTGTTCTGATATTTTCTTTCTTTTTTTTGACTTTACTCCCAATATTGTTGCTACCGCAGGAGATATGTGTTTACATACAAATGTCATCGATTCAGATCTCTCTATTTCAAAATCATCATTAAGACATAACAAATGCACCGGATGTAAATAGTTATCATCGTCAGGTACAAGAATTTTGCCATCTTTCAATGGCATGTAGAATCCATCATCTGTTTTTTCTTCTTTTAAAGCAGTGCAAAGAGCATTTAAAAGAGAACAGTAATGAATAACCTGCTGTTTATCTAGGGGGTCTTTGATATCAAATTTCTCTGTAAAACGCAATAGAACTTTTGAAATATCATGTGTTGAATATCTATCTTTAACGTCCAGGAAAGATAACAATGTTTTACACCTGCTCAAGTATGTATCCTTCTGGTTTATTCCAACCAGATCAGGAAGACAGGTGCTTTCAAAATTTATGGCTATTTGATCTGGACTCCATAATGCTTCATTTATCAGCAAACATTTAGTGCTTTGAAGAGGTTCTAAAAGTGATTTAGTTTTCTCTTTGCTTTCATCGTCCAACGTTTTACAATGAAAATCGAGCCATTTCAAAATAGTTTCCAAAACAGGACGTAGACATGTTATTTTTTCTTTATCACATTGTGATATAAGAATTTGTATTTGATCTACAACATGATCAAAATGAATGCCCGTTTTCGCATACCCTTTAAGACCTAAACTTTGCAGGACTTGGTTTATGTTTTTCGTGCAAATAGCCCTTGTATACGCAACCAGCTTGGTGCAACAAATTAATTCTTTGCAATCATCGAAATACAAATTTTCTGGACATTCCATTGTAAAGAATTGCGGTAAGCGTATCTTTTCTGAGATGTGTTTCAGTTTATGTTTTGTTCCGCAGGATTTATTCTTCTCTGCACCAGCTACGACTTTCCATTCAAAAGGCCAATCTTTCGGTTTTATCATAACTGGTACAAATTTCATCTTAGTCAACGCATTTACTAATTCAGTGTTCATTTCCGGAGGGTATCTTTCAAAATATTCAAAAATATCCTTGCACCTTTGCATAGCACAGTCAACACATTTATTGGATAAATTTTCAACTGAAGCACATCGATCGATTATAAGATCATCTGGCAGGCTCTCATAAAGCATTCCTAATTTTTTGAATAGTTCAAAACGTTCTAATTCCTGCTGTATACTAAATTCAAGAAAATATCCATCCCCTGGAATATACAACTTGCTTAAAAGACTCTGTCGTAAGATAATATCGCAGGGTTTTCTCAGAATACCTCTTGTTGATGGAAAGCAAACATGGTTGATAAGCAATTGGTTTATTTTGTCATGATTTTTGTCCACTGCATACAATAACAATTTGTTTCGATCCATAGCTGGAATTATTTCCTGATTAACCAATGGGAAAAACACTTTCTCATAAAACATTTCTGTGGAGATTACGTAATCATATATTGAATCTCCAGAGGTCACCTTGAAGTCGGCAAGTAACCAATCCGGCATCTGTATCAGAATAATCTCTTGATTATTTAGATACTGTAAAGCATGTTTATAAGCAACATTTCCAACATCAGAGTTTAATAATTGTGGATCAAGCATTCTGCAGGAGCTAAATTCTGTCCAACAATCTAGGTCAGACTGAAATATTACCTCTTGGTTAGACGTCAACAATTCAGCGATAAATCCATCTTTTGTTGCTTTATAAATATCTAAGCCTTCGACATGCGAATTGAAAACTGGCCACAGCAGATGCAGGTCTGTTCCTGGCTTTATATTATTCTCTTTCAAACCTTGCAAAAGAGAAAACAGAGATTTTACAACAGCATCCTCCATAACAGCTTGGTTCCAGTTAAATTCACAACGTTTCTTGGCATCACTCGTTTCAATAGAGAGTTGATTCCTATCTTGTGTAACGGCAAATGATCCACTTATGTGAAAATTAAAAGGAGTCTTTATTGGTAGTGGAAGCACACAAAACAAATGACTAGATTTGTAAAATCCATACGGAGCATCCGACAACGGAATAGCAATTCTTTGACCGTTCTTGTCCTCTATCATTACAGCAGTAGCTGCTATAGGTAACATATGAGCTCCAATGCCCTGCATTGATTGTTTTAAACATTCATTTGTTCCTGAAGCCCATGAAACCATCCAATTTGATTTAGTTGACTTTCCAGTCTGTCCATGAAATTGTTTTCCGGTTTCTCTAAATTTCATTTCAACTTCAGCACTGTATTGATAAGTTCCAAAACTAGCATTCTTGACCGATGCATTATCATTTTTTGGTGAACAATTCTTCAAGACTGGAACTTTGTTATGTTCTTTCTCATCGTCTTCGTTTTCTTTATACGTAAGCGGGAAATGCCATTTTAAATTCCTAGAAACTTTAAAGATAAGTTTTTTTCTTCTAGTATCGATTTCAGAAAGATGAAAAATTTCAATTTCGCTCACATTTTGAGTAAACAATAGAAGGTTTCCAGCACTTTCTATAAAAATATCCAACAATTCTCTCATTTCATCGTGACTATAAACTATACTGCTTAATTCACTGCTAGACTGTTGGCGTGTTCTGAGAGGTAGTCTAAAGAGTGTTCCATCGAAATGAGGAATCCTACCACCGTCAGTGCTGAGGTCACAACCGAATATGTTTTTAAATGGCTTGAACTGATCACTCCATCTGTGAAGCATCCTTTGATTTTTCTGTGATTTCATATCAATTCTCATCCCTTTTGTTTTATTTTTCATTAGATATGATCCCTGTGGATCAAAGAACACCATTGTGTTCCCAGATACAAAACTTGGCACATCTGTCAGATTGTAAACGGAACAAAATCCAACTCCAAATTTACCAATTTTAGAAAGATCTTTGGTTTCTTCCTCTACTTTCGTTATATTCCTTAAATCTGTTTCAGAGAACTGAGCATTGTTGTATATCCAAAGAGCCGGGCCTTGACATTCACCCATCTCTTTATTTAGAAGATTAGTTCTGCAGTCCAAGTTTTCTCGTTCATCATATAGGAAACATACTTTTGTTGCACCTGCATCGTCTGCATTCTGAATCAATTCCTTTGGAACAGATAGGCCATCTCTATAACCTTTCAGCAGAGATTTAATTCTGCTGACTAGAGACACTTCTTGTTCCCAATTAAGTACTCCAGTATCCGATAAATAGTGTTCTTCCATTGATTTTATCCCAATGCTTGCTGCAAAACTTATATCCGGATGTACGGCGAAAGGTTCCTCTTCGTCAATAATTTTAACGTCTTCGGACCAATGGCTACTACGGTAAGCACATTTATCGATGTGTTTAAGCACTAACTGATGTTCGACCTCAGTTTCGACAGGAATTAATACATTGTAGTCAATTGCACAATGACAATGGCTCTTGAAGAAACTAAGGATGTTTATATTGTGACGTAAATCCCTCCTAAACTCCATTTCTGTTCGAATCTGAATATGATGTTGTTTGATCTGCTCTTGGACATCTACAAGAACCTCAGGGGACTGACAAATCTTGCAACCAAGTCGCTGAAAGAAGTCTTTCATATAAATAAATTCCCCAGGTAACTGGTAAAGGTACGGTTCAAGATGGATATCATCATTGCTACTATTTAAATAAATTTTCTGGGGTTGACAAAACCCATCTCCCGTCCATACAACGGATCTGTTCTTCATCGAACCAATCAGTGCCTTGTCTACTGTAGCTTCATTTAGAAAACTATATATTTGTTTCACGAAATGATGAAATTCTGGTTTGTACATTTCACTGTAAGACTTGTCCAGGAGAAGTAACTGTTCAAATACTTTAGCAATAGGTATAATTTGACAGCTTGGATTAAGTTTCTGAATGAAATTGATAGGCAAATCTGGAAAAAGTGGCATTGTCGACCCGACAAGATTTTCAGCATTATCCACCATTTCATTTGGTTTACAAAAAGCATCTGGACAATCAAACCATTGCAATACTTCTGGATAAGATTTGGGTTTTCTCAATGGACGAATAATTTTCAAGTTAGCAAGTATATCCTTTAATTTTATATTGTTGTAAAACGATTCCAAAAGATGTTCATTCTTCATTAATATGTTAAGGAGTCCATTTGCCTGTTCTTCAGCAATGTTAGTCTTTTGTGTTTGTGCTAATGATGCTTTTCTGTGGATACTCATGGCAACATCGTTGATGTCTGTTGCATTTAAATTTGCGGATGACTTTAGTCCAAACGTTTTTAGAATATTTAAATACGTTATTTCTTGATTTTGTGGAAATTTTCTTTTGTCGTTGAACATTTGAACAAGATGGTGATCTGTTGGATCAAACAGTTCATTTGGTTTTCTTATGTCACCGTTTTCAGATCTAACAAATTCAACCTGTCTGACTAAACTCTTTATTTCAGTATTGTGTAGGAATAAAGACATATTTTCAATAACGTATTTCATCATTATTTGCTTATCAGTATCATTGTGGTTGGATGATCTACCAATATATGTGTGAAGGATTGTTTCTACAACTTCTGTCAAACTTAAATACCTTGCACCTAAGTGTATTGCTAAACTTTTCTCTATGCTAGTCTTGGGTTTGATCAATTTGTTTGGTAAAGGCACGGGCAGCAAATCGTCGGGTGCGATATCCGAAACATCTTCAATTGAAACATAACAGTCAGGTATATTGCAGTTAAACATTTTCAACTTTTTTAAAACATTTTTAGCACTGTTCAAAGAGTAGTTGGAACCTATAAAATTAACAAATTCTTCCTTGTCTGAACTTTGGACGTTGTCGTTGAAGTTTCTCACATGTTTCTGGCAGACCTCTGCTACAAGTTTCAATACTCCATTAACCGTTGGTCTCTCTACATACTTGTCGTATATTTCTTGACAACAGTTGATATAATATGGAAGAGGATTCAAAACAGTGACTCCAATTTTTTTCAAACATCTCACAACTGATGCCGGTAGAGCGTATCGATCATCTGACTCAACAATCAGGGGTTGGCTTAGTCTAAGAAGATAGTAGGATTCAAGTTGTTTGTCATAATGGGGTAAAATAAATAGGTCATGTGGAAGATGAACCCCTTCCCGCCTTAAATATTCCCAAACAGACATCAACCATTTTTCATTTAATTGCCATTGTTTCTGCCATCTTAACGTCCTATTGTCCTGACTTTGTCCTTGTATCTTTTCTATTGATTTTGATATAAGCTGAAGGACATCAATTTCACTCGGTTCTATCAATTGGGTCCTTCCTAATATGAATATAGAATATCAAACATTTAAAATTAACACAATGGAAAATAATACTAGCATATCGATAGTATGAATCAATAAACTTTTTCAATTATTTCTTTCCAAAAAGAGTTCAAAAATGAACTTTTCTAGTACAAGACAATTATCTGTGTTTAGTTTGCTAAATATACAAGAAACCTCTGATAAGACGATTCCATTTCAGAGTTCAGTATTTTTGTGATTTAATTTTTTTTTCAGCTGATAGATATAAAAAGATGTTGTATGAATGCCAATTAAACAACGCTCCATCCAAGTCACAATTTATAAAAGTAAACCATTATAGGTCAAAGTACGGTCATAGTTTAGGATGTTACATCAAACTTTAATTTGAATTTTAACGTACGCATCACGGTGTTACACTATCAATGAATACATGCATCTCTGTTCCTGTTTTCTAGACAGTTAAGTCTGAGAGTTAACACATTAAAAATGTTATTACCTGATCTTGCTAGTCTGAGAATCAATTCATCGACTTGATCAGAAACTGTTCGTACTAATCTATCTTCTATACCAGGACATAGCTGCCTAACAATGGAGGAACAAACAAAAATATTTGAATCTGTATTCGTTGCAAACTTGATGAATGCTCCGTTTGCTAATGGTAGAAGTTCTAGTGATTTAAGTAGGTCATCTTCTCTACTGGAAATCAAATAGACCAACAGATTCAATTTGTGCTTCTCTTCGAAAGTCTTGTATGCAGGTTCTATCTTCAAAAGCCTAAAAATAAAATTATACAACTATAAGTATTTGTTTCGAATCATTTGTAACAATTTGACAACGATTCGTTATCTGCATCTGCAATGTCAGACGCGGGTTTAGTCTTGAAGCTCACCACTTGAAACAAAATCAAATACGAAATTAAAAGCATTCAAAACTAAAATTTCCGTAAACAAAATTCAAATACGATTTTATATGCATGCGGGTAGAAAACCTAATTGCTCTAAATACGTCTGACTCAACATTTTATTAACAGTACAATTACAGAAAATAACCGTTGTTTTGATATTCTGTTTGGAAACGTACCGACTACTAAGCTGATGTAAGTCAAGGGGACAAAACGTCGACAAATAGTTGCATCTGTAAACACATTTCAACAACAACACTTTGTTTATTAATAACAAAATAAAAGAGTTAAGTCTATGGTCAACCTAACGTGGTTGTTGTTATTATAACCGCTTGAAGCTTTTGTTTTTTGAATTTCGAAGGAAAATTATGGGAGGCAAAAGAACGAAGTAGTATTTCAAAAAAATGAGTATATCAAATTAGTATTTATTTACCAATTTTATGTTCATAATTACAAAACTATTCAAACATGGAGGCATTGTTTTTAATTGGACTGTAGTTGCACCTTTAAAATGACACATTTGCTATTATTCAATAGGTTACAAAATATACATTTAAAAAATATATAATATACCTCTCAGAAATGAACTGCGGTGATGCGTCTTGTGGTTGCTGACCAAAGGCCTTGGTGAGAATACCATACATTCGTTCATATCCTTTCGTATCTACCAAACAACTGTTGTATTGTCTCATGGTGTATATAAGTGTTTCTCTGATGTCCTCATCTGAATTTTACAACCTTATTTGTACTAACAATGTATCGTTGATTAGTTTAAAAAGTAATGCAAAATATATTTTTTATAATAATGTAATATTACGTTCTGTGAAAGTATCTGCTATATTTCCCATGCCTGTTACTTTGATTGAATCAGATGTAGTTTTTAACATGTCACATTTAGAATTAAACGCGTAAATAGAGAAGTTGATATTGATATACAAATTAAGACATTTTGATATATATTTAAATTTTAATCATTTTGAAAATGTTGCTTATAATTCTGATTGAAAAATCAGCTAGTTGTTTGTTTATGCTATTTTGATTTTACCGTCAATTATAAGTCTTTTGAAGACAAAACTCGCGTCTGGCGTACAGACTTGTAATCCTGGTAAATATGATAATTGCATCTATGCGTTCATGTTTGTAACTAACATGATAAGACATAGAATGATACAACCGTATTTAATATTTGTCTGCTTTTGCACTCAAAAAGAGGCGTACGTCTATCTGACGAATACAAAAATGACATATATTATTTTACTGGTTTTCTATGTACAATTGCCAGAGGAGTGTTTCTTGTATTGTTGTCTTTTTGTAGCCACGTGTTGGTAATTCGACAAATACATGACAAAAATCACGATCAACCAAACACTAACTCAACTCCATGTACAATGCTGTTTGAAGAGCAAGCACGTCGTGTGTTTACTTCTGCATCTATTTCAAATCTCCTTAATGTTTTTTTTTCATTTGTACAGCTTAAATAGTTATATTTTTTGGTTGGAGCTTTTTGTATGACTTATCATTTTACCTGTATTTTCTGCGAAAATTTGAAAAACTGCATCTTGCAGACGAATCCATCTTCCTCCGCCGCTTTTAGAATATAGAAATGGTGCATCTTTTAAATTTCTAAACAGCTTGCTGATACATTCTTCAAATCTAATGTCAATTTCCAACGGATCAGGAATACATCTAAACATCAAATGTTCATCATTCCGTTTTCGAATTTCCATAATCAAATCAATGTAAACCTTTGGGAGAACGGTAGACACCATCAATTCATTCCACTGTACTGAATCCTCTTTGTTACTTTCTGAAAATTTGTCTGCCCATTTCAATTGTTTGCGATCCTCGCTGAGTGCAAACGTACCGTTGATATGTACAGGTAGTTTAGTCATACTAACAGCTTGCATCGGCAAAGGTAAAAAACAGAAAATATGTCCCGTAAACGTGTCACTTGATAACACAGGTACTGCAATTCCTACACAAGGCAGGTAAGAAAGCTTTGTAGCTAGTTTCAACAGGTCTTCAGAAGCGTCGGATATTCCTTCTAACCGATTTATTACTAACCATTTCTGATCTTCTAGTTGTCTTTTGCAAGTCGTTACCAATACCAATTCGTACACATTGACAAAAGGCTCATCTGGAATGGTTTTGTATTGCATTGTGTTCCTAGATTGTTTTGCAATTTCGCTTGTACAACCACCGATTGCTACCATGTAATCAGGATTTTGTTCATCTAGGGAGTCCATACATTCATACAGGGATACTTCTTCCAGAGACTTCAGGAAAAGTAGTGTTAGGGAAGCTTCTTTTTTTAACACCCTTAGTAGATTGTTGATCTTTTCTGTGTTGTAAACAGAATCTGACAGTTCTGTTGCTTCTTTACGCAGAGGAAATCTAAAATGTATCCAAACAATTATGAAAAAAGTAAAATAAAAAAAAATACCGAACTCCGAGGAAAATACTAAACGGAAAGTCCCTAAGCAAATGGCAAAATCAAAACCTCAAACGCACCAAACGAATGGATAACAACTGTCATATTCCAGACTTGGTACAGGCATTTTCTCATCTAATGTATTGCAATTCAATGTTTGGTCTAGAGTCAAACTGGTCAAACTTGTTTAATTTTCTTAAAATTGCTGCAACATTGATTCTTATAAAAAAATGTAAACAACATAAATGCTTGGTCACTGTTTTGATAACTAGTATAGCAAAAGACACTGTCAAATGACTTTCAATACACGTTTACGTGTCGTCTCTCATACCCAAAAATTCTAACCCCCCCCCCCCCCCTCCCCCATCCCCCCACCCGCCCCCCTAAGCATATTTAAATTCAGAAAATGTTACCTAAACATCGTTCCTTTGTAATATCCAGCATCTAACACATTCTGTCCAAAATCAAATACTTGAAATAAGGCGTCATAGCACTCATTCATACCACTGTATAACTTAAGTTTTGACAATTCAAGGGTTATACAGCACCTAGTTTCATCTCGATATGGATCAAGAATCATCAAAAGACGTCCACTCATAATCATAGGGTAATCTGTGAATATAAAGTATCAATATATTTATCTTAAATAATAAAAAAGATATTCCAAAATAAAGTAAATGAAGTAAATCGTATTACACCCACTGGTTTTGGTGCAAAAAAGAGAATTGAATACATTCAATATTCGTTCAACTTTATTTTCTGAATATTTGTTTTAATTTATCAAAGGTGAATTTAAAGTGTGATCAATGTAAGAATAAGAAGATGTGGTATGATAGCCAATGAGACAAATCTCCACAACAGACCAAAAGACACAGAAATTAACAACTATTATGGGTCACCGTACGGCCTTCAACAATGAGCAGAACCCATACCGCATAGTCGTCTATAAAAGGCCCCGAATGTAAAAATGTAAAACAATTCAAAAGACAAAACTAACCGTCTGATTTATGTACGAAATAATGAACGGAAAACAAATATGAAATACAGCAACAATTGACAATCACTGAATTACAGGCTCCTGACTTTGGACAGGCACATACAGAATGTGGTGGGACAAAATTGGTTTGAAGGTGTCAACCTTCCGCTAACCTAGGACAGTGGTGAAACAGTACAACATGAGAACAAGCAAAACAAATCAGTTGGAAAGGACTAAACTCGTCAGATGGATACAAAGCAGAAATGCATCTAACAAAAACACCGAGTAGACGTGACAGGGTACCTATACATCCCAAACAACAAAAACACACTAGGTACAGATCTGAGAGCACTCTTAGGTACCGATAGCTAGTTCAAAGCCAATAACAACTAATAAAAAACATGCATCGAAGGCAAAAAATATCAATCAGTACACATCCAACATACAATGGATGTAGTGTAAAGACGTAATTAACAGTCTGATAAAATCATGACCTTGTGCAATGCCAAGACACAGGTATCATCAGATTGATGAGCCATGAATGTGCATATGTAGCTAAAAATAATATTTAGTTTGATTTTAGTTTACTGATAACACAATCAATATTATTAATTCCGATAGCAAAGTAACCCATGTCATTTGAGGTGTCCAAATATGTATTCATTCTTTTAAGGCAGTATATAGCTAGATGAAAATTACAGAAACATAAAGATTAAGCAGGACAACACGTGGTATTCTGTTCACTTTGACCATATTCTTATTTACACGTTGTAAAACCTAAATTGAGGCAAATGTTTTGCAGACTTTTATTAGTCTCTCTGTCTCTTTTCCCTTTGACAAATTGATTTTCGATTTAATTGTTTTTATTGATCCTTCTGTATCTTCTCCCCCTTTTTAATGAGATTTCGCTACTCTGTTTCAAAATAACAATCTTTTTAAAAGACGGTTATAAATTGATAGTATATAAATAGAGGAACTAAAAAAGCAGAAGAAAATGAAGGGTCCGTGTGCTTGTTTTCGAGATATAAGCCATTGAAAATTTGGCGGGAAATAATTCTCTCTGGACCTTTCATACATTTAACGTTGGCACCCTTTTTCTTTAAAAATAATGAAAAAATAACTAAAGATTTGAGAGCATTTTCAAAGATGGCTTTTTTAAACTATAAGTAATAAAATTATAAAAAGTAAAGTAAGGGTTAGCGGGGAAAATTGTTTAATGGCAGTACATGGAGAAAACTAGAGGATTTCGAACATCTGGCAAAAATTCAAAAACAAGAGGAGCAAACATCCTTAAAAAGTACCAGTACTAACCAGTGATATGGAATACCGACTTAAAACCCAATCCAAATCGTCCTACTTTTGATGGATCAAGTTTTTTAATACTTGTACCGATTCGACGAATCCCTTTCCAGTCAGCTTCAGAAAATTCTTCATTATTATAAACAATTAATGCTGGGCCCTGTTAAATATAATTTTCTGATTAAACCAAAATTAAGCACAAAATAAATTACGCACTAACTAAAACAAAAGAAAGATAAAAAATGATTGTCGTTAATGATATCTGAACGTGTTCTTTCAAACGAATATTGTCACCTCTTTGCTAACCAACATTTGCTCTGTAATAATGCCGTTCGTATTTAGCATAAGTTTTTGGAACTTCCGGTTATTTTTGCTTGAACTTCGTATTCGAATTGGCCCTCGAGCGCCACAGATGAGTCTTATGTCTGGCGAACCAAGTGGAAAGTCACTTTGTATCCGAAAAGTTTTACTTATGCAACACGACGGGTGCAAAATGTAACAGGAATTGATAACCATTCCGGAGTACACGAGTCCATCACCGGTTGTTAGTTCTTTTTGTGGAATACTTGGTTTTCTACGTAATGTTAGTTTATTGTTGTTTGTTTTTTTAGTGGTTTTCATTTTTCGCCATGGTATTTTTTGTTGTTGACTTATGATTTCCAATTTTATAACTTGGGCGTCAATGAATAGTATAGAATGTAACACGTGGTTTAGTTTGCTGTAGGCATTATCCGAAAATGTGTTTGATGACACAACATTTCGAGTCTGCAGAGTTCCGATATAATATAAAATTGAGAATGGAAATTGGGAATATGTCAAAGAGACAAGAATCCGACCAAATAACAGATAACAGCCGAAGGCCACCAGTGGGTCTTCAACGCAGCGAGAAAATCCCGCACCCGGAGGTGGGCCTCAGCTGTCCCCTAAATATAAATGTGTACTAGTTCAGTGAAAATGGACTACATACTAAATTCCAAAACATTTAACTGAACTGAAATTAAAAAATATACAAGACTAACAAAGGCCAGAGGCTCCTGACTTGGGACAGGCGCAAAAATGCGGCGGGGTTTTAAACAATGTTTTGTGAGATCTCAACCCTCCCCCAATACCTCTAGACAATGTAGAATAAAGAAACACACAGCAATACGCACAGTAAAACTCAGTTTAAAAGAGGTCAGAGTCCGATGTCAGAATAAGTAACAAAAGAAACTAAGCAAAATGACAATGATACATAAATTAACAAAGGACTACAGGCAGTTACTGACATGCCAGCACCAGACCTCAATTAAACTGATTGAAAGATTATGTCTTCATCATATGAAAATCAAGCACAATCCCTCCAGTTAGGGGTTTAGTATCTTATCATCATAAAAATATATGAGAATAACATAACCCGTATCATGCCAACAACTGGTTTTAGAATAAAATTGTTTCTATTTCCGATGCAAATACCATGAGTGAATCAATATTAATACCAAAATATGCCATCCTGAATGACCTGACAACAGTATCGTAACTATATCCATTCTTAAAGTCTGTTTAAAGGTTTTATTTATTAGTTAGATTTTGAGGTGAATACCGACATTTTTGTGCTTTGTAAAGAATATTACCATAAAAGATTGGATGTGAAGTACATGAACGTATAAGATGTCTGCATGTTGATTTATATTTACGAATGATGTCCTTGTATCGATGATAACATTTAGTAAATGTTTTGACTAGTTTGTGATAAGTTCACTACAGTATAAATAAAATAAGTTTGACATATTTAACTATTTGGTTTTTTTTCACGACGAAAAAATATTTTTTTGAAATTAATTTTGTAGTCCACTTGTAGATGCATTTATCGAATGAATTGTTAATTATTGATCAAGGCTTTTAACAAAACAAAACAAAAGGTTGAACTTATTTTGTGGATTGAGACTTCGTTAACCCGCCTAATAATTAGAATCAGTGATCACATCATGAAGTGCATAGCAAATATGTTGTCTATACCAGCATTCGCGTCTGTTAGATGCGCCCATCAGTTGACACTCTTCCCACAATAAATTAAGATACAAAACAAAATAAATTCACGCCACCATGCACCTTGTAGAGACCAATCGTAAAACTCCTCAGTAAAAGTGATATGATATCCTGTATATTAATTATTATTACTATTCTGATTTTAATCGAATGACTGGATCAACCAGAGAACTGTGTTTAGCATCGTTGCATGTGCCTGCACCATGACAGGAAACTCATTATTTGAAAAACGTATTTCACACAAATCTTATAAATACTAACCTCAAAGTACTTGGAATATTGTGACTCTTGTTTACTACCTTTGGCGTTCAGATTTGAATTTCTCTCATCGTAAAGTATGGCAATTTTATTAGCACCCGCATCCTCTGCGTTTTGAATCAACTCCTGTATAATTAAGAATTTCAGTTAAAGGGGTTTCCCGCAAAATGAGAACATTAAGTACGGAAAAATCATTGTTTTGAAAGGGTTTTATCGTCATGTTCCTTTACTTGTATTCTATCTTTTTTGTTGGTTTTTGTTGTTGTGTGAAATTAATTGATACATGTTAACACTAAACAATTTTCCAATTGTATGATGCTGGTATGCTTTTAAACGACCAGACCACTTTCGAGTTCGTTGCATTCCGTCAAAACTTGGTTTAAGTGAACATCATTTGTACTTAGGGGCGTCGTCACTTCTTCCCATGCTGAGCTATCGGTTGAAAAAATATGATGCTATTTTACACGAATCATTCGGCAAATTAAATTCTTATAATTGATAATCAGTACTGTTGTCATTAGAGAATCGTAATTAAGAACTACAGAACAAACATTGTTTTAAGTTATCCTGCACAATGACGATCGCCAAGGCGCTCGAAGAACTTTAATAGTGCAGTGATACAGGCGATCTTCTCTATCTTGTAAATGACATCATAAAGGCGCACACAACATTGACGAACTTTTCCGGTGAAGGACAAAACTCGGAAGTGGTCTCAAATTTTCTAGTAGGACAAAACGCTAATTGATGATCGTTGGTTAAATTATTTAGGATTGAAACGCCGCTTTTAATAGTAGAGGGCATTATGTTTCCCGGTCTATTTGTCCGTTCCGAATCAGGTAAATGTTCCGTTTGAGGCAATTTCTGGTTATTTTAATACTTAGTTCACGTGTTTATTATGAAGAGAACTATTCAAAATAATCTGCCAAATCGAGGTTTGGGCCCATAGTTTAGGGTTCACAAACTTTACGTAGTATTGTAACGCGATAGTGGGAGCTGACCTTTGGACACAGATTCTAGTTTTTTGAGCATTCCTTTAAAGTTTTACCTTTAGAATTTGTCCGTCATTGGAGTAGGTATATAAAATCTTATTGAGGTCCTCAATAAGCGTATTCCTAATTATACCATCATATTCAGGCTCTAAAACGTCTTCTGCCATCGTCCCCTTTGTTTCCTATGTGAATATTGTCTGTATTAAATGTTCTTCTCTCATTCTGTAACAAACACTGTTTATGAACTCAGAATAATGACAAATTAAGATCGGCGATGTCATATCAGAAATTTATAAAAAAAAAGGGAGATTATTTAATAAATAGATATAACCCAGTCACCAAAGTTTCATGAAAACTGCTAAAATCATCTTTGAGTTATTGTCCGAAAACTGCAAAATACCCCTTTTTATGAATAAAATCTCATAACTCGAAACGTAAAATTTATACATTTAGAAAAATCAAAAGGACTGGAGCTAACGTCAATAGATTTAAACAAATCTTTTAGGATTCATGCAAGTTGGTTAAACCGTTGACAATGGACGGACGGACCGAATTAAATTCGTTATTACACTTTTTGTAAATCGTGATAACAAATTTCATAAATCGTTATCTAGGATTAAAATCTTTATCATGAATTATACAATTTCTTTTAACAGTTTTAAACCGCTATTACGAAAAAAACAAAAGTCTGTGAAAATGAATTTAATCAGTAATCACGAATGACAAAAAAAAAATTGATAACTAATTACATAAATTCTTGATAACAAATTATACAATTCGTTGTTATGTTTTGAATCCGTTATCACGAATTACAGAAATTGTTATAATTAATTCCATAAATTCGTGATAACGAGTTCTACAATATCTTATAACTATTTTAATAATTCCAGTCATATTTTGGGAGGTCATAAACGTGCATCCATCTTTATGTATGTGTTAGATATATAAGAAGATGTGGTATGAGTGCCAATGAGACAACTCTCCATCCAAGTCATAATTTGTAAAAGTAAACCATTATATTAGGTCAAAGTACGGTCTTCAACACGGAGCCTTGGTTGTATGTTTCTCATGTACTTGTTTTTTTGCTTTTTGAGGGTTTTACTTTTCTAAATAAAGTTAAAAACGACACGGACGTATGTGATATATATTGCAAAACTGCAGACGTGCCTTTAAAGAAAAGTTGTCTATTTAAATCAACTTTTAAAGAATCACTGGTATGTATTGATTATATATTGTATACCCTCACAATAAACGCTTTATTATGTTTTATCGTTTCGAGGTTACTTGGCAGTTACATTTATTGATTCACACTTACAAAAACTGCAAAACCAAATTTCAATTGAAATTTTATTGTAAAATATTTAAATTTTACAAAAAAAAACATCCTGTTTTACACGTAGTGTCTTAAGAACATGACACTATAAGCTATATATGGTTCGCTACTGACCCCCTACGGATCCATAGAGGGTTAGTAAAATCCATAGGGGAATGAGGCCGATGGCCGAATCCCCTATGGATTTTACTCACCATGTATTGCAACATTTTGTAGAAAAGTGAACAATGAAATACAACAACATCAATAGATGACGTCACCATTAACAGTGGACTTAACGTCATGAACCCCACTATGAAATGTATTTTAAAACCCCCTTCGGATCCATTAGGGGTCACCATGTGCCGTCGTTAAACCAATCAAAACGTAATAATTTACCCGCGGTGCGATAAAAGCTAATATTAGGGGAGGGTCCAAGAAAAGAATGTTGACAGCCATATTAAAAAAAACATCCTTTTGGTTGGGCTTGATGTATAAAAACGGGGTGGCTTTATTGATTGCAAATAATCTAACATAAAGTCCGATTTACAGGGACGTTGATGATTTACTTAACATGTTAAACAATCGAACTTTGTACATGATTATCTAAACTTTGTACATGATTATCTAAACTTTGTACACTATAATTACCTGATTAATCATTTTATATTTGATGAATGTATTCGTGACTAGATACTGAACAAATCACTTGCTTCCGAACAGAACAATACATTGGTGCAATTTTCAACTGAATTAGAAAATTGTCAGTTGGACCCCCCCCCCCCCCCCCCCCCCCCCCCCCTTTTTTTTGACGATCAATGCTTTTGAATGGGGACATATGGTTGGAACCCCCCTTATTTTCTTGACCGACTTGCCCTACTATTCAGTATATGTTCTGCCCCATTTCATAGATTATAAAAAAAAATGTTCAATTACAAAATTACCAAATTACCCATTATCAAATCTTACCTCGTACTGACAGTTCTAGTACTAAGTGATGTGTGATGAGTTGTGTCCCCTTTAAAAACCGAAACAGAAAGTAAAAACTATATATATGTCACTTTCTGAAAACCAATTCATTGAAAGTTATTAAATATCTAAAAATCTTCTGTACACAATATCACATGACACAGCTAATTACCCGAACAATGTGTGTGTCTATTCTTTGGATCAATATGTTCTTATTAAAAAAGTGTGTCGTTAACACGTAAAGGAATAATACTTTTGTATCGTCTGTTGCATTGTATGACGTGAATTTGTTTATATTTTCTATCGAATACAAAGGTTATTATTTTGTTTATAATTGCTATTGTAAATTGTAGTGTCATTAAGAAATCTTGTCTTCATTCGGGTAGAGAGATCGATAAAACCTTGACGCTTTTTTTAATGTTGTCAGTGTTTTCTACATCAAAGAGGAATCAACATTTTAAATCTGAACATTATTAACAGACCTGTCCCAGAGGACCATTGTGGACCTTTCTTGGGCCGTTCAATGTCGTCGATCTTCTCTAGGTAGAATTATCAAAAGCAGTTTTTAGTTGTACTGTCAAAAATATCCGGATCAGTTAAATGGTAGAACTGTTCAGAACTAGTTTAAGATAGCACAGCCTAAAATTAATCTAGGGTATTACAGTCCAAATGTATTGTAGTGTAGAACTTGGTCTGTCAGAAACTGACCCAAATGTGGCAGAAGACATGTTCTACAGACTGTTCTATAGTAGTTTTCTTGACAGATACATATCACAGGACACGGTTGCGCAGGAAATGAAACTGCATATAGATGACTACAATAGCAATGCGGAAGACATCAAACATTTGTTATGATATCAGACAGTACGTGGTTTACAAAGATAACGTACGTTTGTTTGTCGAGTGTGCTTTCTGATTTTCAGCTGGTCAAAGTCCTTATTTAATATGTTTGATACATATTAAATAAGGGCATCCTGTAATTTGTAACCTCACCTTTGAATAACAGTTATCACTTAATATGCAAATATGATACTCTGTCAAACAACATTGTAACTGAGAAACTGTATATATCGTTCATACAATGTACATGTATCTGTAATCAGTACTGTATTGCCTAATTCGTTTATATTCCACAGTTATTAATTATATTTTTGAACCTCTTTATTCTCTGTTTTTTAGTTTTTCCCTTATTTTCTATATTTATTACTTTCCTGACCATTATTCTCTATTCTCTGTAAACCACATCCAGACCCTCAGAACTTGCACGAACTTCAGTGAATCGATTTCTTTAAGTTAATTGTGCAGTGGAGCGTTGGATTTGTCTGACGAATAACAGGAAGTGACGGCTCTTGAATTGTTTATAGATTAACGTTATTAATACAATTATACTCTTTTAATAACAAAAAATGATGCAGTCAATTTCACCGAATAAAATTTAGTTCTACGATATGTGAAAAGCAAAACGAAAATGAGGAAATAAATGTAAACCAGGCAGCAACCACAGAACACTACAGTACTGTCTTATTTTCCAATACATATAAATTTCCTACTACAAGTGTGACTATGGTATAGACGTACGGTCACTTATGGTTTTCTTCCGGCCGGCATTAAAATATTATATATATAGATGTTATCCCTGCCGCTCAGTCTGATTAATTTTTCTTTTAAATAGGCTTAATTTGTGAGAACCTGTCAATGTTTCAAGATTAAGAATTTTTTTTTTTTTTATCGATACGCATCATTAAAAATCAATTACCATAATTTACACACGAACTTCAATATCAATTCATTCATTAATGATGTACTTTTCGCTGTTTTTTTTTCCTTCAAATTTGATGTATACGTCCTAAATGATAAAGTTTTGTATGTACCCCCAATCAGTAAAACATTAAAATCAAATTGTGTGTTCACTATATATAGAGTTTAGATATGTTCAAACACCTTACCTCTCAATATTGACAGTTTTCCGATTTCTAATGTAAGTGAAGAGTTATGTCCCTTATACATATCAAAATCGAAAGTCAGCTTTCAGAAATATCAGGTAAAAATCGGTAAATTGAAATTTAACACAAATTGTGATATTATGCATTTGTTTGTTTTTTGGTTCAAAATTTCTCAAAGTTTGTAGGAAATGTTAACTTAGGAAAAGTACATCATTATACAGTTAAACGTTGCTTTTATAATGAATAAATTGATATTGAAGTTCGTATGTAAATTATGGTAACATATAAATATTTGACACTCTAACTTACCCACTCTACTACGTACGGACACGGATATATACATGTACATGAATATACGTCTGATGCGTCCTATGATTACCTATAGGTACCTTGCTGTACATGTACTATATGGTTATTGATTATGAACACAGAAGACTCATCAGTCAGACGCTAAAAAAAGGTTAAATTGCTAAATACTAAGGACTGAGGACTGAGAACGTTTTCAATTGAAGGAAACGCAGTGTAAATAATTATATTATTGTGAAAATATTAACATAAGCATTATAATACGACAGAAGGAACTTTTGTCAAGGTGCGCAAAATCTAGACGGGGTAGAAAGCTGACTGGAAACAAATATGCATGCCATGGAAAACTTCACCTTGTGATTATCTCTTTCTCTTTAAACTTGTCTTCACATACACAATCACTGTGCCTAAACTACCCCGGCAAAAAATGTGTGGACTCGATGGTATCTAATATCCGGCACGGTGACGGAACATCAATAGAAAGAGAAAAGGTAGTTTTCTGTTTATTTATTTGTTATTTTTATGATATCGGAGAATATATATGCATATATAACTATTTTCTATTGTGAGATGTAATATTTTCTACAACCCTTCTAGATTAACAGAGAAATAAGTAAAAATGCACGTCAAAATGACGAATTGAGTGAATCTTGCCTCGAATTTGTTTAATTTCTCCTTAAATTATTCACATGGTACGGAAAGAAACGTACGGAAAGAAAGATATTGACATGGAGATTGCAAAACTAGTCACTTTGAGCACCTCAATCCTTGTATTTCTGCGTATCGAACGAAAGAAATATGTCATGTCAAAATGGAAGCACCCGGTTTTGTCAATGTTGTTTACTACACAACGACCCATTGTCTATGTATAGAACCCGGTTTTGTTTATTTTATGAAAACAACGTTTTTCTATGTTGTGATGTTACACTATTGTTTCAGAAAAGGGAAAAGGTTTGGTACCATTAAAACGTTTAATCCCGCTGCAAATTTTTGCACCTGTCCTAAGTCAGGAATCTGATTACAGTAGTTGTCGTCTGTTTATGTAGTTCATACGTGTTTCTCGTTTTTATATAGATTAGACCGTTGGTTTTTCCGTTTGAATGGTTTACACTAGTAGTTTGTTTGGGCCCTTTATAGCTTGCCATTCGGTGTGAGCCAATGCTCCGTGTTGAAGGCCGTACCTTGACCTATAATGGTTTACTTTTATAAATTGTAACTTGAATGGAGAGTTGTCTCATTGGCACTCATACCACATCTTCCTATATCTATTAACACTGGTACCCTGAAACTGAAAATAAATTAACAAATGGCTGATCATGTGGGTTTTCAAACCAGATACCTCAATAAAGCGTGTGGCCAAGTTTAATTAAATTGTTAAAGAGGAGAAGATTTTTGTAAGATAATTGGCAAAAACGCAAAGAAATGGTAAAAATCGTAATTAAAGGTCAATAATTCTTACAAGGATATCAACCAAGTCGACTTATTCGTATATATTGTCTTGCTGGTCATTTTTGCTATATAACTTTTATATATTTCAAGATAATAGACAGAAATGGAAAAAAAGGAGAAATTTGTCATTCAAGGACATTAACTTCTATAAGAATTCGTGTGAGAATTTTGATGTGTATGGACAAAAGGTAGAGCTTAACATTATGAACATATCAGCCCCCCCCCCCCCCCCCCCCCCCCGTTAAATTTTCTCTATCTATAGCTGTTTTCAAATAATAGACAAAACTTGCATCCCCCTATGTTCTATTTTAAGCCATGTCGACCATCTTTGTTGACAAGCGGGGGTCGTCAAAAACTTTTTAAACTAGATACCCCAATGATGATGAAAAACAGTTAAACATAAGTTCGTTAGGCTTTTTAAAACCGACATAAGATTGTGGATAAGGTTTGTTAAATTTATTGTAGCCCAGTAATTTCAGAGGAGTAGATTATGTAAAAAAATTAACGGAAGACGAAGTGATGAAAAAAGCTCACTTTTCCCTTGGGGTAAGGTGAGCTAAAACCAACCAAGAATTCCAAACAAGATTGTACCGTTCTTGAATTAAAAAAAAGTCTAACATTTCATAATTAAGGCTTACACGAACGAGATAAACTAATCAGACATGGCAAAACAACTTCAACTGCGTTTTTTTTAACACAAAAATTGATACTACGTATTATTTATAAAGGAGTGACTATACGCACTGACATGTCAAGGGCAATGGACATATGACAGATAGAAACATCGTTACATAAAAGGTCTGTGTGCGAGGTATGTTGCAGTCAGGCCTTCTAACTTCTGACATATGAAACTTCATACAAATAGTTCAAACCGCCACGTATTTGCATCCCTTGGTCTCGCATTCCGACAAATCCAAAATATCAATGTGAATTTTTAGAATAAACATGATAATCCTACTCACATACATACAATTTCGCGGGTGTCCCTGCTTTCTTATTTCTTATGAAATTTTAAGTTGGTATACGATTTAGTTATATAACATCAGTGGCGAATCCAGGCGGCGTATAGGTCACACGCCCCCACCCCACCTTTGATGGCCCCCAAAAAAAATTTTTTTTTTTACGATTTTTTTTAGCATAATTCGTCCAAAACATTGCTCTGCGGTATGTAAGCTGTTTGAATTACGCCCACTTTGAAAAAACCTGAATCCGTCCCTGTATATTGTCAATAATATATTGACCAACGTCAATGTACGATAATCATAACACAATGGAGAGATAACAGAACCGTTTATTTATACAACTATTAATAAACTAATCATTATTGCATTTTCTTGATGGCC